AGCGAGGCGGCCGCTGGGGGGTGGGCGGGGGTGGGTGGTTGGGGGGGCTTCGGGGGGCCGCGCGGGTGAGGCGGCGTGGCTGCGGCTGGAGGTTAGGGGCGCCGCGCGCTCCCGCCGCCCTCTCGCTGCCGCCGCGACCCCGCAACCCCGCTCCCTGCGCCGCCGCCTCAGTGGGTCTGGCCCGCGCGTCGCCCCGAAGCCGCCGCGGCCACCGACCCCGGCGCGGCCGCCATCTTTGTTTTCGCTGCTCGTTCCCCCTGCCGCCGCCACCGCCCCCTCGGTCTCCCTGTCACGTGAGCCGTGCGGGGCCAATGGGAGAGCCGCCCAGGGCTAGATGGCACGTCAGCCAGACCCAATGGGCGCGCAGGGACGCCCGAGGGCCCGCCCCTGCAGAAAGTAGGCAGGAAGAGGGCGGGGCCCAGGGCGACCTGCGGAGGGGCGCGCGCTCGGGGCTGGGAAATCCTAGGGTTGGGGGCGTGCGCGCCGCTTCCGGTCCGTCTAGGGTGCGGCCCACTAGCCGAGGCCACCCGGTTGGTGGGCATCCCTGGACCGCCACGTTGGGATGTGCTTGCGCTTTTGTCCCCCAACACTCATGCTTGCGTGCAAGAATCTCTGGCCTGGCTCGCTGGAGTGAAAAACCCCGTCGGCCACTCAGATCCTTCTTGTGTGGGACCAGGTGTGCTTCCACGGGAAGCACGCATAGAATAGACGCAAGCATAGAATATCTCGAGAAAGGACTCTGGACCCCGAATCTAACCCACTGTTCTGCCCAAACCCATTTCCTAACCCTGGGGTTAGGAGCTGAGGAGGGGTCCATTGAGAAAAGTGAGGGTCTTGGGAAATCAGGACCTGCCTTACACAGGCGAGCGGGAAGAGGAGTACATGTCAAGTCAGCTGAGTGGGATTGTGCAGTTCTGAGGACAGCTGTAATACAGCTGTAATACAGCCCTTCCCTGCCCCCACCCCAACAGGCAGCCCGTGAAGGTCACTGTCCCAGAGTGCCACCTGCCAGGTTGTACCAAGGATATTCACAACTCTACTATGTCCCAAAAGAGCAAGGGCCCAGAAGTAGGTCTTCTCAATCTAGGGGCCCTCCTGACAAAGGTGACAGCAGGAGGTCAGGCTGGGTGATGCCCCAGGGCTAGTTCCAGGGCAGCCCCTTTCTTTGCACAGGGAAACCAGTTGCTGCCCTGGAGCTTTAGAATACTCACTGGAGGACCCCTCCCTCGATCCCTTTCAAGAATGGGCAGATTCCATATTCCTGCTGAATCCCTAAGGTTTATTGGAGACCAAGCCTCTCTCTGAATCCAAAACCATGGCCTGCCCGACATCAGGCCCCAAAACGTGCCTGGGGCCCCATCTCCTTAATTCTTGTCTAGGTGAGTCCCCAAACTCAGCCAGAGGAGGGACAGTGCCCAGACTCTGTCTCCTGGCCAAGGCATCCATCACCGTGCAGCAAGCTCTCTTTGGGAGGCAAGAGAGTCCATCCTTAGGGGAGGAGGCCCATAGGAGCAGGCCTGTGGGAGGGGAAGGTGGTAGCCAGGGCAGAAGCCCCACCTTGCTGTCTGCAAACATCACTCCCACTGCAGGCGCTGTGTGTGCAGGGCTCGGTGGTAGGCCCAACTGCCTGCAGCCAGGGCACAGCGACAGACATCCTCCTTTGGAAGCAGCAGAACTTTGTCCTCCTCCAGCCGGCTCAGGAGGCCTGCAGCCCCCAACATTGCGCCCCCCCACATTCCATAAGTGTTGGTCGTGAAAACAGCCACAATGAGGATCGTCACTGCAACCACCAGCACCACTGCCTGACCAGCTACAGAACGGCCCTCAGCACCAAGGTGGTCACCAGCCACTGCCAGCACCATTCCTCCTCCCAGGAGTAGGTTGGCAGAGGAGCGGTCCCCATTCACCCAGTGGAAATCGAAGGCCAGAAGGGGCAGGCCGATGACAGTGGCCACCCAGGCTCCAGCAAGACAGTCTTCATCTGTGCCCAGCCCTGGGGCCAGCAAGGTGGCAGAGGCCAAGGCCTGGAGCAGGAAGCCAGCAGCGGCCCCTCGACTTGCCTGTCAGCACAAGGATAGGAGGAGATGGGGGGGGGGGGGGGGGGACGGGTAGCCAGGACTTCCCTTTAAGGAGGAAAGAGTGTGGAAGTCTCATGCAACCCTGGCCCCCACAGTCAACCTCCCACCACCCTTTCCCTGATCCGGGGAACTGGACCTGATCCAGGTCATTGCAATCTGGGAGTGGGATACACCCCTGCCTGGCCCCAGTGTACTCACCTGGGCAGTGCTCACCGCTGCGTGCAGAGACACCACTCCCAGCGCTAGGTGGGACAGGGTCGTGCTCCACTCACTCCACGGCTTGGGGGCCATGCCACCTCGGGTGGTAGTAAATGTGAAACAAGAAGGGGCTCTTCAACTTTGGATTGGAAGAAAACGCAGAAGCCGGCGACCAGGAGCCCTAAGCGAGACTCTCCAGGACTACCAGTTTCCAGAGCCCCATTTCTAAATATTGGGAAAGGCTCATCCGAAACTTTCCAGAGCCCTGGGGCCACTGGACACAATTGTGGGGAGGAAGAACCTAATTTGGCCGGGAAAAGAAGGGAAAAAGCGGCGCAGGGCCTGACCTGGTTAGACGTGAGTTCTGGGGCCCTGGAATCCAAGTCGGGGTGCCAGACCTTGGGGAGAGTTGCGCGCAGGCCCACTCGGCCTGGTCTCTGCGCTCTGGGAAGCGCCGTTTTCAGAACCTGGCCTGGAAGGAGCTAGGGCGCAGGCCGTCAGCGCTGGCTGAGCTGCGAGGCCCCACCCCAGGGGCGAGCTGTAGATTGGCGTCGCCCGCCACCCTGCCACCCGCCGGCTGCCGCCGGGTCTCCGGCTTCCTCCCGGCGCTGTCCGGGCGCGAACCAACGAGAGGAGCGGAGGCTAGAGCGGCGGGCGGGGGGGGGCGGGGCCTGGACGAAGAGGACGTTCTAGGACAGCAAGAAGAGGTTGTCAGGGCGGAGAGGCGACTAGGAGGAGGCCGCTCTGTACCACGGCCCGGGTGCGATAGCCAGGTGGTTTGGAGGGACTCTGTGGTGAGGGGAGGAGCTGTGAAGGGATGGGCCCGAGAAAGGGGAGGGTCGTGGGCGGAGCCTTGAGGGGAGGGGATTGGCTGTGTGCGGTATGGGCGGAGCTGGGAGGGGAGGGATGAGTGGGGAGGGGCTGTGAAGAGATCTGGGCGGGACTGGGGCGGAGCTATGAGGAAGGGGTTACGTGGGGAGGGGCGCTTGGATTCCCCGGGGCTGATGGCTCTAAGGGACGAGAGCTGTGGGGGCCTCCGCCGAGGGTTAGGAAGGATTCCGAGGAGGGGGTGTGTGGAGGCCGTGGGCGCTTTCAGCCCGGGGTCTCCGTGAAGTGGGAGTGGGAGGCGCGGGGCAGGTGTTCGGGTGCAGCCCCGGGGCCCCCTGTTTCTGGCATCCCCTTTCCTCGCGCGCGCGTCCTCCACCCGCGGGAGCGGGGCCGTGGGGGCGGCCGTCTCGAGCATGCGCACCGGCTTTGCACCGCGCGGGCGCGGAGTCGGGGCGCCGGGACGCGGGGCGGCGCGAAGCGGGGCCCTCTGCCGCCCCGCGCTCCCATGTACGCCTTCTACTCGCTGCTCATCTACATCTTCTACAGCCTCTTCCGTAGGGATGGCGGGGCTGCGGTGGCCAGCGACCCCGGGGACCCCGCCCAGGTGAGCGGAGCGGGCGCTGCACAGCCCGCGACCCCCTTCTCGAGAGCGGGTTTTGCGGGCCCGCGCAGCGTACGTTCCCAGGGCGCCGACGCTGGGGAGGAGGGCCGTGCCGAGGACCCCGTCTCTGTTCTGGTGTTGGAAGCGGAGACCTCAGCCACAACTCCCTTGGCCAGGTTCCTGGGGGGAAAGAGCCCCACAGGCTGCCTACCCACTCCTTCGGGGTCTCGCTGCTCCCTCCCTAGAGTGCCGGTGGCAAGCCCGGGGGTCGCCGCCGCCCCGACCAGCCCACGGCAGAACTGTGGACCGAGCTGACAGGCCTGGTCGGTAGGTGCTGTCGGTGCATCGGGAGAGCTGCGTCCCCGGGACCGTGAGAGAACCCTGCCGTCGGAGAGAGGGAGGGGTGCCCGTGACCTCTTTGGGAGGGAGGAACACAGCTGGTGCCTTCTGGTGGCCCACCCTCCAACACGTGAACCGCAAGCCTCCCTTTCCCGCTATCAGGCCTCACAGGCTGCTCTGAGTCTGAGGATGGGCCGGAAGAGGGAGCCGAGGGCCGCTCTACCGAGGTCTCCCTGGAAGAGGCTCTCGTGCGTCTTGCTGAGTTCCTCTCCGTCCAGCTGGGGGCGGAAGAGAGCTGCCGGAACCCTGACCTGAGCAAGGTGAGCGGTTTGCCGAGCGTCCTGCCTCGGGAAACTCATACTCTATCCATAGTCCTGGGTCTTCCCATGGCTGTCATCACCTCAGTCTCCTTCGCTCCGATTCTTATCTCCTTTACAGCCGAGCGATGTCCCCCCACTGTTGACGGTGACCGGTCAGCTCTTGGCCCTCCTGGCATGGATTCGGAGCCCCAGGGGGAGGCAGGCCCTGCCCCAGGGTATTCATCCAGCCTCGGAGGTGCAGCCTCCCACACCTGCTGGTGCGTAAGGAGTAGTGAGTTGAAAAGGGAGTGGAGGGAGTGAAGTCCAGCAGAGACTGAGTGGCTCGTTGTTTGGGGCCCATGCCCAGCCTTGCTCCCGAGGTGTCCCCTCCTTCAGGTTAGAGACCTGATCAGTCCTAACTGGGTCCACCCCACCCCAGGATCCCCACCTCAAGAAGAAAGCCCTTCCCTTTCACCAAGGGGTGAGGCCCAAGGGCAGAACCCTCCCCAGTTGGAGGAGGACCAGAGAGCTTGGCAGCGGCTGGAGCAGCTCATCCTTGGACAGGTGAGGGGCCCGGAAGGGCCCAGGACTGGGGTGGGAGGGAGTGGAAGGACATGCTCCATCCACCCTGTGCCCCTCCCTCCTTCCCAGCTAGAGGAGCTGAAGCAGCAACTCGAACTGCAGGAAGAGGAGCTGGGCCGCTTGCGCCTGGGCGTGGTAAGGCTGCTGGGGGTGGGGCTCCAGGAGGGGGACACGAGAGGCGGCCCCAGCTTTCAGGTGAGTTAGAGGGCCTCTTTCTCCGCCAGGGGGCGACAGACTCAGAGAAAAGGGTTCAGCATCTAACCCTGGAGAATGAGGCTCTGAAACAGAGCCTGAGCCTCACTCGGGACCTTCTGCTGCACTGGGGCCCTGGCCCCTCCACCAGGGCCCCCCAGGTATCCTCCTTAGCTGCTACCATTTTTGCAGTCTGGGGCTCCTGAACACTTGGCTTCCTGCAACACTGCCCACGCTTCCTCAGGATCTAACGCTGCTGGAAGGGAGGCAGGGGGACATCTTTGACCTTTAAGGGTCAGAGACTAGGATTGTGGACAGGCCCTGGGACGGTCTGTGCAAAGTTGCCCCAACAAGGGACCAATGCCCGTGGGAGAATACCTCGACCCTGTCCCATGGCTTTCCAAGTGATGGACCCCAGAAGAGCAGAGGGACTTGGGAAAAGGAGTCCTGTCTGGGGTTGGGAGACATGAATTCACGAGCAGCTCTGCCTGTCTGCTTGACTTCCCCATCCATGAAATGGGGCTGCTGGAGTGCCCCTCCCTGAGTTCCCTCCTGGCTCCGTAGATGACACAGCTCCCACCCTTCCCACAGGAGGAGGCAGAGGCATTGGTGGAGCTCCAGAGTCGGCTTCAGGAAGCCCAGGACACCACAGAAGCACTTCAGGTCCAGGTGGGCGCCGAGCCCAGGGGCCGGGAAGTCTTGGTGCACTGGGAGGGGGGGTATCTGAGGCAGGGCCTGGTAAGTGCCTATTTCCTCAGTGACAGGGGTGGAATTGGGTGGGACAGCTGGGGGTGCAGGAGGTGCAGCTGCAGGGCCTTCGGGGGGCCCTTCGGCAGCTCCAGCAGGAGACTGAGCAGAACTGCAGACGGGAGCTGCAGCAGATGCTTGGGCAGCTGGCAGGTAAGGGCGGGGTCCAGAGGGCTCATGGGAAGGCCATGTGGTCTGGGCTTTCCCTCACAACAAACTCTCCCTGACAGGACTTCGGGCACGTATGGCCAGTCTGCGACAGGGCTGTGGGGACCTCCGAGGACTGGTCAGCACATTTACCCAGAGCTGTCAGTGTTCGCTCAGTGAGGCCCGGGGCCAGGTCAGGACCATCTGCCCTCTCTCCAGAACATGCTCTCTGGGCAGCCCAGTCACTGTTCTTCCATGGGGAGCCCTCGTTCTTTCTTCCTTCCCAGCCCCCGGGAGCTGCCTGCTCTAATGGAGGTTGTAGGCTCTGGAACCAGAACAGCTTGTGGTCTCACACACCCTGGGTGTGATCTCATTTCTGTCTGTGCAAACTGGGGGGACTGTAAACCCCTCATAAGATGGCCAACCCCAGAGGAGACAAAGGTCTTCCCATGATCCTCCTGAGATTCTGAGTCTCCATCCTGGGCCCGCTGTATGATGCCCCTAGGGGCTCAAAGCCACTGAAAGTTGTAGGTCACCACAGCTGGTGGTACCATATTGCCCTCAGCACCCGTCCCACCCCCAGTTCCTTTGCTGCCCCCACTTCCTCGCATCCCTATTCCACCAGGTATCCTGGGCCCTGGGGGCTCTGTCAGCTGGAGGGGCTGGGACTCAGCTCCCTGAAGAGCAGCAGGGGCCCCCAACTGGATGCCCGGGGCGGCTGCTGGAGCTCAAGGGTATGGCAGGCTTGGGAAGTGGAGGAGTGGGGCGGCAAGCTGGAGGAAGTGGAGCCTCTGCACGCTTCGGGGCGTGGGAGGCAGCCTACTGATCTGATCTCCATCCCAGGAAATATCCGTGTGCTGTGTCGACTGAGGCCAGGGACACCCTCCAGCCTGGTGAGCTTGGAGCCTGGCCCCAGCGGCACTGTCACCACCTGCTATCGAGGGCGCCAGCGTCGCTTCCGCCTGGACTGGGTCTTCTCTCCAGAGGCCAGCCAGGAGGAGGTGATGCTCCGCCCTTGCCCTGTGCTGACCTTCCCTCATACTGCCCCAGAGTCCGAAGAGGCTTCGGGTTTCCCCCTTTCATCTGGCTTCCCCAGTGGCTGGACTTCAGCGAAGGGAAGGGAGCAGGAAGATCTGGGAGGCAGGAATGACAGCCTAGCTGGGTACCTCCTTTCCTTCCAGAAATTTCCATCTGCATCCCCCCACCAAGCTCTGCAGTTCCAGTGGAAACAAGCCTTTTCTGATTTAACAGGAAGGTCAACATTTTAAAAAGTAACTTTTTTACCAAGAAACTAAGGAAGATGAACTTCTCTGAGATGATGGTTACTGCTCATGCAGAGCTGGCTGCAGAGCACAGCTAGGGTGTTGCTGTGGTGGGGACACTGCTGTGACCTCCTTCCCCCTCTTCCAGCCCTGGGGGAGTGGGCCAGCTTTGAGGGTAGGCTCACCGCCTTGCCCTGTGGCCAAGAAGGCAGTGAGGGCGTAAGGGTGAGCAGGTGGTGTCCAGCCCCAGTGCTCTCCCAGTGCCTGGTGCAGACCCTGCTTCCTTCCCTCCTCCCCTTTCCTGCCAGGCCCACCAGCCACCTGGCCTTCGCACACTCCCTGTCTCTGTCTACATGCTTCCCCATCGGAACTTCCAAAGCTCAGGAAATGGAGGCTCAGAGCTGGGAGGGGATTAGGGAAGGGGCAGCGCTAACAGATTCCAACCTGGCCTCACAGGGACACTGTGTGATGAGTATTTGGCAGGTGGTCAGGGCTCCCTCCCCCACTTCCTGGAGCACCACAGCTGTTTTTCACCTATTTCTCTATTTCACACACTTCCCCTGGCCTCAGCCTGCATCCCAAGCTTTAGCAGCCCTGTGCAGGCCCCCCTTGTCCGCTGCTTTCTGGGCAGCCCTCTGGACAGGGCTCTCCAGTTCAATGGGTCTGAATAAAGGAAACAAAGGCATCTTTCACTGAGCCCCCTCACCTGTGTTTCCCATCTCTGCAAGGGCACCACAGTCCCTCCATCACGGTTACCCCCAGTGCTTCCTTCCGTTCATGGAATCTTGGTGACCTCCCTGGCAATTCTGGATTCTGCCCTCATTGTTGGCAGCCAACGCATGAGGCAGAACTCACAGGCTATTCAGTTGCCAGCCCCCCCGGGCCACAAAAGCTGGCCATGTTGCTGCTCAAAAGGCTGCTGTTGGGGGTCCGGTTGCCAACAGGATACAAGTCCCAGC